CGGGGCAACTTGGGGCTACTCCCTTTTCTTCCTCTTCAGGTGGGTGGAGGCCAGTTCGAGAGCAGACAAGAAAGTACTAACAAAGGAAGTCGCCGCATGAATGTTGTCCCCGGGCGGAGAGCAGGATGTGGACCTGTGTGCACAATACGTCACAACTATTTGTTTTAAACCACAGATACGGGGTTGGAATGGCAAGCCCACACTGCTCCTGCTGGCTCCTCCAGCCACCCAGGATCCTGCAAAGAGCCTTCATCCCTCACATGTTGAGGAGAAAACGTCGGGAGGGCTCCTTCCACCAATCTGGGAGTCACTTGCGAGGGGCAGGGAGGGTAACCTGGGTCCGTCAGGGTGGGGACCTTGGAGCTGGTACACGGCCAGTTCACACTGTGGGGCTTCCCGATGGGCAAAGGACCCCCGGTAGAGATTTGCCTTCTTGGGAAGGATGCTTAAAGCTGATAATCACTGTTGCGATAATATTTACCAGTGCCATATACCAGGCTGCTATACAGGTCGCCTCATTCAATTCTCAAGCAACTGTGGGCAACAGTTGTTATTATCCTTGACTTACAAATGAGACCATTGACACCCAGAGAAGTTAAGGAATTTTCCCCTCCTAGGTGGAGACATCGGATTCTGGCGCTGGAGAAATGGATCCATGCTATAACTTCAGGAAGAATGTGAGGGTAACATGTTTCTTTGGGTTTTTTCCTTTATCACTATTTTTAGATTATTTTCATTTAAGAAAAGTTCTTTTGTTTGCTTTCGAAAGAAAATACTGTAATGTATCCATACTTTATAGAACGCAGAACAGTAACATCCTCCCCACGACATGGAAACAAGCTTGCCTTATCTGCTCTTGAAGGCTGCGCGCTCTCTGTTTAGGAACGTGGTGGTTGGCTCATGAACTTGCTGGCCTTTCTGCTTGGGAAAGTGCTGGCTGTAGAGTTTTTCTTTTTCAAACTCCTTGGGATGGACCTTGGCCTGGGGTATTTTGTGCTCGACGCTTGGAAAAAAATACGCAAATTCATGTCCTTGGGTCTCTGTTGCCACCACGTTGGACATTGAACTTGACGAAACCCAGTGTGAATCCTGGGGAAGAACTTCCACAGCCCAGGGAAGGCAATCAAGTGTATGAAATCAGCCTTTGGCTCCAAACCCTGGAACGGAATATTTCGCATGGGTTCTTGAATAAAACTGGGAATAATCTTTGGCTCCAAACCCCGGTCCCCGCCTGACCTGAGCCCTTGGCAGTGCTCGTGCAGGGGCTGGCCCTTCTGCCTTCATTCTCGTGATTCCTGCCTCACTTTTCCCTCTTGGTTTCCCTCCTTCCTCTGGGTCTCCCTTTCCCAGGACCATCTGTGGGCCCCTCCCCTTGTCAACCTCTTAGTGTTGGAGGTGCCAGGGTGCTGTCCTCGGTGCTTTCCTGTGCCTGTGGTCTCTCCGTTTCCCAATCGCTTGGGAGAGCCGGGACAGTGGGGCAGTCCCACTGAGGGCCCGCACTTTTCCTGAGCCTGTGGTTTGGGCTCCGCGGCTGAGGGATCGGCCAGGGTCTTGTCTGCGATCTGCCTTCAGAGCTGTGGGAACAGGTCTGAGCTGAGGAACATCGTGCTGAAACGCGGGCGGTCGGAGAGCAGGCCCCATCTTAGGGAATCGCCCCGCCCTCCCTGGCAAGTGTGCACTTTCTGCAGGCCCCCGCTTCTGTGGGCAGAGTTATTACGCACGGGGGTGGGAGGGCTCCTTTGCAGAGTACGGGTGTGAACATCAGCTCAGCCAGATCAGTTCGAATGAGTCCCCAGCTAGCGTTTCCTCCCCTGAATCGAACTTTCTTTCCCAGCGCGTCTCTGTCGGCAGGGCCTGTGAATCTCCCATTGTGTGCCCGGCAAGCCGGGCTTTTATCTTCCCGTCGCTGTGCCCGCGTGCAGCGCCGTACCAGGTAACGAAAGGGCTTTTCTTATGTTTCTGTTCTTTGCAAGGAGCAACGAAGGCAGGGTATTTCCAGACAAGGGAATAAATTCCCAGATGCAAGTGGCCAGGGATTGTGACTCCCAGGGAATGGCGTAGAAGAAACGGTGTTCCACACTGCCCCTGATCTGCTTGTTTTTTCCTCCCCCAACACTGACCTTCCATGTTCTTCACTGACACGTAGGCGCAGAGTCGTTCTTCCATCCTGTGCTACCTTAGCCTGTGGGAGCCTGACTTGCACACGCTGCTCAGGGTGGAGACAGCCTCGGGGGACACCATTCCAGCACAGTCCACGGGAATGAGGACCCTTGGGTTGTGCAGTCCACATCCTGCACAACCGTAAGCTAGTCTGTGGCCTCATTTGCTTCTTTAACTCCTGGCTCGGAGCCATATGGAAACACCAGTTTCATTATGTTAATTAGATTAACGATCCACTGACTTTTTAAAGTAAGAGGACTTGACCTGCCTGCTCAACAAGACCAGAACGAGGGAATTTTCGGAAGATAACGGCCTCTCAGGGAGGCCCCGGCAGCCTCTCATGCCCCGGCCCTGAGGAATATGTCTGAAAGTCATCAGCTCTGGGGTGGGCGGGGTTGTCGGCTGGCCCTGCAGCCCTCTCAGGTGTCACCTGCTTCATTATCCTCTCCCGGTGGGTGTTCTGGCCCCGGGAGCAGCTGGATGGGGGCCAGGGTCTGAAGGTGACACGGTAATTGCATTAGTCTAGCAGAGTCGCATACACGGAAAACTACGGTGAGGATGATGACAGGCTCCTGGCAGCCGCAGCCTCACAGATCAGGAAGTCGGGCGGACAGGTTCTCGGTCTCAGGGTTTCCGGGCTTGTCAGGACACCGGTCTCAGCAACCCCTTCTATCCCCCACCTTTGCTGGCGAGGTGCTCTCGGGGCCCCTCTCCTCCCCTGCCCAGAGACTCGCTGCTCAGGTGCAGTCGGGAATCGAGTCTCTTGAGGGAGTGACAGCATCCCCCAGGGGCCAAGAGGGTCCCTCTGAGCACCACTCTGCCACGCCGTGCTTGGGCCCACCATGCTCTCTGTGCCCGTCCCCTGCCCTTCTCTCCTTCCCTCCCCCCTTCCATGGCCTGTCATCCTGTTACCCCCCAACACACACACACACACGTGCACACATGCACACATGTACACACACACATGCATACACACATGCACGCACACACACACACACATGTACACACACACACGCACACGTGCCCCAGCCCTTCCCTGAGCCCCAGTGGTTACCGATCTCCCTCTGCTGGCCCGGGCTGCCACACTGCGCCCGCAGCTTATGCGAGCGTAACAGCAGCAGCCATGGTGGGAATTGCTCCTCAAACAGGCTTCTGGCTGCACGATGCCCTTTAGTCTTTGCAATAGCCACACAAAGAGGGTAGAATCTGCATTATTCTTACAAAGATGCTTTTATTAGGTTTTAATAAACATTTGCTTTCTCAGGCATCAAATATTTGAAAAAAGATTTTTTTGTTGATCAATATACAATAAAGTGTTTTAAGGGCTTATGTAATCTACGCTACATCTTTCACAAAACCTAGGAGTAGAATGTGACTATAATAACCCCAATTACTCTGATTCTCCCCTTACTATAGGGCAAGCATAAAGCGCTCATTGTAACAGTGCTTTATACTTAAGAAAAAATGAACCCAAAGCTGCATTCAATTCCCAGTATAACAGGATCATCTCCGCAATCTTTCGAGGTTGTGGGAGAACAAGAATAATTACTTCAAGGCTACAGACTGAGGAAATGAAGGCTGATGGAGGCTAAATACTTTGTTTAGAGTCACAAATGACTAGTAGATAGCAGAGGTAGAATTGGATTTTAAAGTTTCTTACTTTCTCTGTCATAGGCCTCCATTTCTTTCCTAAAATCATGGGTTTTGGACGTAATACAAAGAGACAAGTGCCCTCAACTCTGCCCTCCCCCTCCGAGTGGACATTCACTGTCGAGGTCACTCACGTCCTGTGGGACACGATCCCCTCACCTCATCGCCCAGCTTTTGACTAGTATTTCACAGTCTGCTCCAGTTTGTTCCGTGGGAGGCGACACATTGACACCCAGTCTTGGGTGGCTCTAATCTGCTGGGGTGACACTGGGGACAGAGCTGAGTTGGCTCTGCGGGTGGCAGAATGTGGACTCGCCTTACAAGTAGGGAGAGGGCGTGCTGGGCGATTTCCCTGCAGAACGAATGAGGCAGTCACATCATTCTGTGATTTAAGCGTAGTAGGGTAAGAGAAGAAAATCCTCACTACCTTTCCTGCTTGAAGCACTGGTGAAACTCATTGTCTCAGCGCTATGATCCGGCGTACCGGGCAGTGACCACGACACCTGCTCCACCCAGGGTGCCACGGAGCCCTGTCTGCAGTGAGCCCCCTGGGGAGGGACAGCATCTCTGGGTAGCATCTCTTGTCCTCGGTGGGCTTCCTGGATGTGGAACCCCAGAGGGCCCTGGAATCCAGGTAGGACCTGCAGAAATGACCCCTGTGGCTGACAGGCTCATGGCTCCAGCGGATTCACCGGGGTGGGAACCGAAGACAAAAGCAACGGGCGTTGGATCAGAGGTACACGTGGGGCTGGGGGGTTGGGGTGTGAGTGGTGGGAAATGAGGAGGGGCCAGGTGGTGACGGGCGCGGGTCTTCTTGCAACATCCTTGCTGAAGTAGGGGCGCCCACCTTACCCTGCTTTGTGACTGCTGTGCTTCCTCCTTGTCTGTGCTTTCCTGACTTAGCCGAGTGTTGTGGTGCAGGAAACATTCATGTCACCGCACCCTGCCTGGGCGGCGAAGTTTCCTGGCACCTGTCCTCCGTCCTTCAGCACGAGAAAGCAGCTGCACCATGGCTGTCCGGAGCGTTTCGTCCACCGGGTCTTGATCATCATCCTATTTTCCTTTACATCTTCAATCTCCAAACTGCACTCCCTGGATTTTTACTTTTTTTGAACTTTTCATGCTGATGCTGTCCCTTGCTTACTTTACCACGCAGTGACTCTGCAGTCACACCTACAGGAGGAGCTCACCTCCACCTCATCACAGTTCCCCAGAAGCATCTGCTTCCTGTTCCTGCCTTGATAGACGTGAATCGCAAACACTGGTTCTGTAGGCTCCTCTGATTTTCTGATGCGGTTTTGATCAAAGTCTCGAGGAGCAAACGCATTCAGCATCGTATGACACGTGGCAGGTGGCATCGCGGTAAGCACGCGGACTTGGCAGTCAAATACGCCTTGGAGCGATCCTTCCTGGCTGTGGGACTTCGGGTAAAGTTCCTCAGCTTCTCTGGACCTCAGATTCCTCCTCTTTAGTCGGGCCCATGGTCCTCCCCTCGAGGGACAGCAAGAAGAAATGCTCTGTCCAGAGCACTTGGGGCACCCAGGGCCTGGCTCTTGGGGTGCCGCCCACAGGAGGCCGGTTTTGTGGTCCCTTCTTCCTACCTCATTCCCCCAAGGACTGAAGACACTGCAAAAACTCACACTGTGTTCTGTGAATGATTTAAAGACGGTCAATGTCAACGTTACGAAACCAGGACACAGGTCCTCTCCAAGCCTCAGTGTGGACAAGAGGGAGGATTGAAGCTGGTCATTCGCTACAGCCACCACTGTGGCTAAAGGGAAGGAGAAAATGTGGAGTGTTTATGTTTTTAACAAAAAAGCTGATTGAATTGATCTCCAAAGTGCCTGTGGTCCATGCTGGGAGACGGCGAGAGTTTGGGCCTTCAGTGCTGAGAGTGGGGAAACGGGAGGCCCCAGCCCTGATTTCAGAACGAAGAAAACGAAGCTCTTCCGACAACTGTTTCCCTCCTGCCCAGTTATCTGGCACAGAAAGCACATCTGGGCCCTCTGTTCTGAAGGTCAAGTTTGCCAGATGCTGGTGGCCGTGTAATTCCAGTATTATTATTATTTGGTGCATAATTTCAAGGCAGACAACAGGCCTCGTGGCCCCAGGCAGCTACTGCACATCTGAGCTTCCCTACTCACACACACACACACACACACACACACACACACACGAATACTTTCCTCATCACCTATATGTGCTTTTTATAACCTGCCAGACGATGACAGTCACAGAAGGCATGGCTCACTTCTGTGTCATGCAACTTGTCAAAAATGAGTCTGGTCTCGAGATTGCCAGAAAGGTTCACTCCTTCCAGAGCTTGGGGCATCTTCAGAGAGAGCCAAGTCATTCCTGACCCCTGCAGGGCAGCCACATTTGCGGCCAGGTGTGTACAGCCGTGCCCTGCCCCAGAGCATGTTGCTGCCTGCCGGAGTCTGCACCGGGGGTTGGGGGTGAAGGTGGATGACGGGGGTGGGGGTAGCCTGGGGAGGGAGGGGTCCTGCTGTCTGTTGAAGCAGCACCTTCCACCCTCAAAGGAACCAGTGAAGCCCTCCAGGCCCCAGTGGCAGGTGGCCAGACTCTGTGTGATGGGTCGTTAGCGGTGCTTTCCCCAAAGTGTCAACTGGGAACGATGCAGGCTCGTGCTCTCCGAGGGGCCGCAGCAGTTAGCAGGGCTCTGTGTGGGAGGCACAGGCTATTCCACGGCTGGGGCCTCAACTGCCCACTCGCTCTTTCCGCCGGGGGACGCCCCCTTTGATCAGTTTCCCACAAAGGGCTTTTAAAAGAGAGGCTTTCCCAAATTCCCCTGAAGGACCCCCCCCAACACGTCATAGTTTTACTTTCCCCTCGGAAGGCGACTCCTGTTCTCTGTTCAGCTGCAGTGGAAGTCTGGGTGCTCCATTCCCAGCCAGGAGGGACGGTGGGAGTCCTTCTCTAGTTAGACCTTAAACTTCTTGCTTTTTAACAAATATATTAAAGAAGAGAAAAGGAAGCCCCTGCCCCCTCCTCAAATGAGGTAAGAACATTGGGATCAAATGCTTCAATGACGCCTGCCCCACATGTTGACGAAGCACTGCTGTGGACCGGACTGTGCCCCCAAATCCATGCATTGAAGCCCTAACCCCTCGTATCTCAGAACGTGACCATATTTGGAAATAGGGTCTTTGCAGGTGTAACCGGTTAAGATGAGGTCATGCCGGAGTCGGGGGGATGGTGGGCCCTAATCCAACATGCCTGGTGTTGTCACGAAAGGGGAGATTTGGACACGGACATGCACACAGAGAACCCCGTGAGATGATGAAAGCAGCGACGGGGCGATGCTTTTACAAGCCAAGGAGCGCCAAAGGGTGCCAGCAACCTCGGGAGCTGCAGAGGCCCGGGACAGTCTCCTTCACAGACCCGGGAGGAAGCAGCCCTGCTGACGCCTGCGCTTCTGGTCTCCAGAACTGTGAAACGACACGTGTCTGTTGTCCAAGCCACCCAGTCTGTGTACAGCAGCTCTAGGAACAAATACGAGAATCGTGTCTGGGGTCAGTCGTGATGCCGAGTTTCTGTCTGGGGAAAGCATAATGGTGCCGGGACCTGTACTGTCCCCGGGCTGGAGCAGCCTGGCGGTTGTCTCGGGCCGGGACACTTGTGCCAGGGTCTGTGACACACTCCTGCCCCTGTGACCCCAGCTTCTGGGTGGGGCGGGTTCCTGGGCTGCTGGGACCACAGGCAGGGGCGGGCATCCACGGGTGTCTGGATGCGGGTGACTGAGGGAAAACACGGGAACGGTGAGCTCCGTGGCAGCCATCTGTCCTGACCCTTCTGGGCCAGTGAGGGGAACCCCTCTGCAGACAGGCCTACGACAGGCTTCTGAGTAAGATTTCTTTGATGAAAAAGTTGTATAACGGGATACAGAGTAACAAACAACTGACCCAAGCCACGTCCTTTCTCTCCCAGGTGAGGCGACCTGCAGAGGTCACTCTGCCTATTGTCATGACGCAGAGCTCCCTTTCCCATCCTACTTTATGTCCAGAAGCACCTTGGGCACACCTGTACTACTGTCCCCTCCTTTCCTCAAACGAGGACGTCGTCGGCCATCTTCCCTGCTTTGCTTCTCCACATCAAGCGCTGGCTGTGTCTACGGTTGGGGTGCCCTGGGCTGACAGCTAGGTATGTGGGATGCAGGTGGGCACTTATAACCAAATAAGTATTGAAATTAACCACGAAGCCAACATTAGTGGTGACCAACAATGGTCAGACCAAGGACATGGGACATTGTGCTTTCTATGTTCTGTGTGAGATCCACCGCTGACCTGCGGGCTTTCAGGTGTGCTCAGGTACCTCCTTCTTCCCACATAGACAGTTCCCAGCCGAGCCGAGCCTGTCAAACTGTCAGATTGGTGCAGGCGAGGGGAGATAATTGTCCTAGATTTTCACGGATGCCAAGAATACTCAGTGTGGTAGAGCCTGGCCCATGGCGCCTTTGTTGCCTGTGTTTTGGTCTCAAGTAGCCAGAAAATTCTCCCACTGAGAGCCCTGCCCTCCAGTTTAAAGGACAAATGGAGGAGAGTAGGTTATGGAAGGCCCTGGGTATGGGAGCTTCTAGAAACCTCCCATTCCAGGAGGGATCAGATCAGCTCCGTGGCCACTGGGGCTGTGGGGGTGTGATATGGGTGGGTCCGCCCCACATGGATAGAGTGTCCTGTGCTGTGGGAGCAGGGGGCTCTCACCAGGAGGCTGGGCAGGTGGGCATCCTGGCTCTCGTTTCCCAGCTCTGTGGCATCGGGCAAGTTCCGAGACTTATGCCTCAGCCTCCTCATCTGTAAGTGGAAGGAACGATGGCACCAACCCCGCAGGCTGCGCGGAGTTCATATACCTGAAGCCCTAACGACAGTGCCTGGTGGGCAGACAGTGAGCCCTGAACACGCACATTTGTGAATGAACACACAGAGCCAGCAGCTGGCAGGGACAGGTGCCGGGGTAGCCGGCTAACGGGAGGATGGGTGTGCACGGGAGCAGTGCCCTGAAGAGAGGACGCCAGGTGAACGTCACCTGTTCCCTACCGTGCTTCTCTCCCGGGAGGGAACGTCACATCAGACTCACGCCGCGGATCCCTGCTCTGCCAAAACGCCTCTGCTGAGCAGCGAGCATGAAAGTTGTGCAGAGGCCCATTTGGCAAGAGCGCTGCGTTGGAAGGCGCTCAGCCGTGTGGGCCGGGCTGCGGTTCTCCGCGCCTTGCTTCGCGGGACCCTGGCTGAGCAGCGTTCTGCGGGTGGCGGCTGGGCAGCAGATGGGCGCAGATTTCCTCCAACTTCCCTCTGAGCCAATTTCAAAATAGAGAGAGGGGGAAAAAACCTCATTTTCTCTTTTCAGTTTTGAAAGGTTTCATATGCGGACACAATTTTAAATCTTGGGTTTTTTCCCCCAGCGAGATGTTTGGAGATGGTGACACTGGAATGGGGAGGAATCTGTATTTACCGAGGAATTTTCATCCCCAACATCCACACCCGGCCCGAAATTCAAACAGTGAGTGGGTGGGGTTTTTGAGAGAGAGATTATGTAAAGATGTCCAAAATGACTACAGTGGAAACCAGTTTGGGGTTAATTCTGTGAGATTTAATAGGCGCAGTCGGGAGCTTTGGTCTGCTCAATTCTCAGCCCGTCTAGGTCAGCCCTCCAGCTGAGTGATTGATTGATGATTGACACACACAACACTTTTCCAGCACCCACTAGCCAGACCCTGGTCTGGGCCCTGGGAATTCAGCAGTAAGTGAAACGAGAAGAGAAGGATGCCCTTTGCACCTGACCGTCTTGGGCGGGGGAGGGGTAGCTATGGCACAAGGGGCCACGCCCTGGCCAGCCCCTCTGTGCAGGCCTCAGCCTGCTGAAGGTGGTGGAGGGGCTCACTTGGGACTCTCCAGCCCCCTGACGCCCACTTGCTTCCAATCTCCCTGCAGGGTCTGTGCCTCTGGCCCCACACTCCTGGGCCCTGTGCAGACGAGAACCCCCACGGCTGCCGTCTGCTGGAGACTAGGCACACCTGGGCTCAACTCCAGGCTCTGCCACTTACCGGCGATGGCGCTGGGCAAGTTAAGTCCCCTCTCTGAGACTCAGCTTCCACAAATGTAAACACAGCTGACACCTTTCTCATCATGCTAGCATGAGGACCAGAGCGAAGGGACAAAGAGCCTAGGATTGGGCTGGCACCAAGTTCGTGCCCGGGGGGCAGTCGCTGTGCTGACCATTCTTCCTGGCATTTCAGACCACGGGAACTAGGGAAAGAGCTCTTGGTTCCAAGCTGCTGCAAGACGGTCCCTCTCTCCCTCTCCCGGGATGCGGGGCAAGGCCTCTGGAATGCAAATTTGTC